TTCTCTTCTCTCTCAGACAATGCAGCATGTTTTGTGCACCAGCTTGGAGAATAGTCCCCAGACCAACCCAATTATTGGTCGCATTGAGTGCAAGGCTGGACATGGAGCAGGACGTCCAACAAAGAAACTGGTAAGCCATATTCCCAGTTTTTAATTGTCCTTGCTAAGGTCAGCAAAAATATATATATCCTTGCTGTTTTAAAGTCATTGTGATCATGAATTTTTGTTTTGAGTTGTTCATGAATCATTTTTATTTGGGGGATTTTTTCAAGCCAAACCGCATTTCTTGCAAATCTCAAACAGATATAATATGAAATCTCTGAACTAAGACCTTTTTACTTAAACCAAATCAAGTTTCCTTCTTTATATTTCAATGCATCTAACAGATTTTTCAATCTAACTAACTTTGAAATCACAAAACTTTTTGGGCTGTTTACAGGTCAATTTATATTATGTTATGAAACCGCCAATTACTTGGGACTTTATCTCTGTATGATTCTAAGAAAAGATTAGATATAGCGCTATATCAGTATGGACTCCAAAAAAAATTATTGTTTGCATTTTCTTTCTTTCCTTTTTTTTGTTTTTTTGATGAGCGCATTTTCTAGCGTTTGATAAGCATAAAGGGTATATTTTATCTTTCTTAATGTTATAATATACTCTTTCTTTTCTAGAATAATAGACATTTTTTCATTTTATCTTCAAATTAAAGATTTGGGCACAATTTTTGTTTTTACTTATATTACTCTTTAAAAAAAATATAAATATAAATATAAACAGATTTTTTTGTGATAAGTTGGATGATTAAAATCAAGAGACAATAAAGATAAAATAGGGAAAAAAATATATAGTTCCGAAAATATGAAATGATTATTATTTTGAAATGAATTCTAAATAAATAAAAAAAAAAAAACATCTATTATTCTAAAATAAAAGAAGTAAACGTTAGCATCCCATTGCCGAGAGACTAACATGGATTGGTATTACTAAGGATAGCTATTGGATTGATAATTTCTTTGATTTTCGACATTCTTGTCTTTCCGCTATTTGCTGCAGATTGATGAAGCTGCGGATCGATATAGTTTCATGGCCATGGTATCAGACGCATCTTGGATCGAATAGCTGTTATGATTTTCTGATGGACTGATCCATGGTCACAAGCAGCTTGCTAGAAGTCGCACTTCCAGTTACGGAAGTCATTTTCTTATCTTTATGTTATTTAGGTTTTCCACTCTAGGGAGCCCATCACAAGAATTTTCTGTTCACAATTCACATAAATTCCCGATGAACAGCATTTTAGGTTTTCTTCGCATTTTAAATTAGACACACTTGAGATCTTTAAGGGCATTGTCAAACAAAGAAAATTATTGTAGGGACTTCAATTATTCTCTATGAATTGGGGCTCCTGGACTGGGTTTAAAATAGTCTATGGTATATTTTCAAGTTCAAATTCAGCTCTTATGCTAGTTAATAAACAAATTTGTGCTTAATTTTGAACTTCAAGTTTAGATTGAATTGAAGTTCGATAATCAATTTGAAAAGTTAACAAACTTTCATAATTATGTTTTTTAAAAGATCAATTATTAAACAATGACAATCAACTTGCCACCTTCCAAACTATTCAAGAAACACCGAAAGGGTGGATATATCGGCACCCTTTGTGGACAAACGTGGCTTTACCCCAAAATTGCAGTAAATAAGTATTTAATCAAGATAAAAGGACAAAAATATGGTTCAAATACATGAAAAACTATATTGGAATGCGTATTGCCTCACCCAGTTAGAAAACAGTCCATTTTGACGTCTGTAACATCAAGTTGCATTATCTCTGCTCTGCATCCAAGGATTGATCCAACGCTGCAAAGGAAATATAAATAAAAATAATAAAATGATGACCAAAGCGTTTCAAACATTAAAAGAACGGCTAAGATAGACAGCATAACCATAAAGGACGGTTAGTTCTGTACCTTGGGTGAGTCCGCCCGAGATCCCCATGAACAAATTCCTTGATATATGTTCCGGCCTGCATTTGAAATATTTCAATTTAGATGAGTACTCCCTATGAATATGTTTAAACCAGCCAAAGACCTATTCCACGGTATAGAAACCAATTAATTTGAATTATATCCATCAGGATTATAAAATTGCATGTATCCCGTTATGTGGTTTTAAGAGATGATGAAATGTATTACCTGAGTGCAGAGATACAGTAGAAAATATTGAGAGCTTCC